CTGCTGCTACAGGCGCCACCGCCACCGCCGCCAACACCAACAGCACCGGCACTGCCGAGGGCAATAATGCGTGCGGGTACCATGGCCTCCGCCATGGCCGCAACCGTGGGCTTGGAGGGCGAGAGGAAGCCGTTGGTCTGCTGACTGACACTGGAAGAACGGCGGTAACTGCCTACCCGCTGCAGCGCATGCATCATTGATCCCAGAAGGCTCATTTGACGCTGGGGAAGGAGGAGAAAAATGTCAGAGGGGGATTAGCCTGTCAGGTAGATTAAGGTGGATTTTCTCAGAAGCCTGTCTGCTAGCTTAATCCTCCTGGTAACAGTTCAGATTAACGTACACAGAAGAGAGCAGATGAGATAAGGATATCTGCGCCCCGATCAGCAAGCTGACTAATGGAAGGAGTTTGACCATGCGCGAGGCAAGACATACACATTCATCAAGGTAAGTGGGAAAATATAAGGCAGCTTGTGGCTAAAAAAAACGAAGGTGGCTACTGCTACTACTGAATGCTCGTATTTGTAAGCATTCATGGGACGAGAATGTAATTGCGATTCAGAAAAAAAAGAAATTCAGCTAACAAAATTTAGTATCGCTCGATGTAGAAACAGTGGATAGCAGTTCTGAAATGTAGTGATTCAAAACCTTTCAAATTAGCTAGAAACAGGCAATTAAAAACACCTTGAGGCGGCACTCGCATAGAAGGGGACGAGATGCAATATGCAGTTGCATAGTGCATGTGGAGCTATTAACTGATTCTGTTTCGTAACCAATCATAATAGCAGCAATTTGAGAGCTGAGCCTCTCAAACATTTTTTTGAAAGTTTGATTCTAAACATGAGTACTACCGCAATGCTTTTTTGAAACAGAAGCCGATTGCGAACTTACCTTATCCTCCCCACCTGAACAGCCACCATCGTCAGTGCCCGGATCGCCTGGAGTGAGTGACGCTCTTGACTAAAACATAAATTTACCGTAGAGGGGACATACACAAACGGAGGTGTTTGAAGCATATTTTAAGAGCATACCGCTTTCATCAAAACAATAAAAAACTGGTATTGTTTGCAAATATGCGCATTCAGAACGTAATGACGTGCAGTTATTTCCTGAAAGACAAATTACTACACGCCACGCAGTAAAATTATTGACAGGCAAACAAATAAACTTTGAATTTTGTCATAGAAAAGCTTCGGATAGGGAACTATCTTTAGCAACTAATCTTGAAATCAAAGTAACAAATGTGGAGGTGGTGGCGTAACTTTTTATAGTCAAAAATGGAAAGTGGTTAAAGTGAATTAGATTCAAATGGAGACGTAGAGTATTAAAATGAGTTACTTAGACGGCAGCAATAAACACGTGATCAGCGTGGGAGAGTTGTACAAGTTCCTCAATCAACCAGCAGTTAAGTCCTAGAGCAAAGTGGTAACAGACTATGGAGAGTAAGCGTCCTAATCTGACATTTCAGCCTTCCGAAAACCCACTGGATGGACGTCGAAACGTTTGTGGATAACACAACAGAGATCATTGCTGTGAGAGTTTAATTCCATTGATACGGTCGCAAGGTAGCGACGAAGTCAATCGGCGTTCAGAATACAAGACTGCTTTTAGGATTGATTGACTTCGGGATCCCCAGATGGAGGATGGGGCAGATGAATGATAAGCCTACACTAATTAACTACTGCAGACGTCCCGAAATAAATGCGCTTCCTTCGCCGGCCATATTTTGTTATTCAAAGTTTCACTTGTCCGTTAACAGGTGAGAAACTTCAAAGTATATTGGTCTCTGTACAACCACAAGATTCCTTGAAAGGTTTATTTGTAAGTTGGTTAAATTATGAGGTGAATAATCGTTTGATCTAAAACGAGAGTTACAATTTTTGATTGCTAGGTTCTGCTTTTATAGAAAAACAAAAAGCAAGGGAAAATCATAATTTACATACAAAGGTGATGATAGATTTACTTTCCTTTCGCTTTTTACCTTCTACCAAATACAGAAGTTACTCGCTCAAAAACTCAGGTAAAAACCCTGTGTGTTGTTTTAAGTCAGATAACATTAAAAAGTAGACGCGATCACTAACGCAAGAGCTTTGTTCGATTGGCGTTTCGGATTTATGCATAAATCAGAAATGAGATCAGACAAGAACACTGCATGCACCCGGAGTTACATTATTTACAAGATGTACTTGTTATGCCAACTTATATCTATGAAGTGTAAAAGCTCCCCCCTGCTTCAGGCAGAATTGCTTAGAACGCGGGTTTTATCAGATTTTCAGCATGACTCTTTCTCTGATAATGGACAAATTGGTGAACCGACGATGTAGTGGTAATTAATACTGTCATCTGTGTTGTAGATCAATTTCTGTGATGCTCTTTTCCGGATGAAGCATTGATAAGCGTTTACTTAAGAAATTTTTTTAAGCTTACTTCGGTGCCAACTGCCATAGCTAAAGGTAAAGCACAGGCAGATGATCATCTTTTATAAGGAGGGCCTGGCGGTAAATTCTTTCAGAGTATTGTCTGAGTAATGGCTATGTTAAGAGTTCAAATTAGGATTAGGGTAAAAATGAGGGTAAGAATTTAAAAATGTGGATTTGTGCATTTTCTGAAATTAAGTCTAAGGCCACTCGGATCACCTTGTGGTTTATATTCCAGTGTGTCACATAAATTTATTCTGAAAATGCTGTAGGATGCCCAACTATAGTTCAATTAATATAGATATAATTACGCAGATTTTCCACGGGAAGGCATTTCTCAGAAGCTCAGAGAAATGGTACAATTATTCTAGAAAATCCCTTAACACATAATAATATGTGAAAAAGCTGCCAGAAATGAACTGCGCTTTTCCTTTATGCTGAATAGTTACGTAGAAAATACAAAATTGAGAAGTCAATATGGGAAAAATAACAGACCCGGAATGGCATCATCGAATGCCGTTTGTGCTAAAAGCGCAAAAAGAAAATAAAATATTATTATAAAATGATAGAAATAATAAGGCAAGAGGGGGCATATTATGATAAAACATCAGTAGTTTGCAAGTAATTTCATTAAAAAATCATCCGAGGACAGAAACTAGCATATTAACGTTTACGACAGAGTCGTTCAAAGTGAAGTCCAAAAAAAAGAGTTCATGAAACCCCTCGGAACGAGTCGTTTGTAATGTAGTAAAAGAAGTCAATATATCTGCCGGTCGTCGTAAATGTCCAAATGCCGAGCGATCTTAGTGGCAGGTCAGCAATCGCATGTTAATTCACTAGATTAGCTGATGAAATGGGAACGCATCTGGAACAACCGAACTCAGTGCTCGCCTCGAAATACAAAGATGTCAGCCATTCTCTGGCTATCGGTACTCGAATGCGAATTATTTGACTCTGAAGATGGGCCTTATGTGACTGATAAAATCAGGCAGGCCTCGAATGCCATAAAGCAATTATCGTCAAGTTCAAAGCCAGCGCCAATCCTAAACACCCCAACTTGAGATCGGAGTATTGAAGAGACAAAATGAGGTAAGCATTTTTATGATACCCACAAGTGTCCAAACGTCAACTTTTTGCCCAACTCATAGGAACAAGGATTTGTGGATCAGCAAAGAGAAAGCGGACTTTCAGATGTTTGCTTATTAACCGTCTGAATGCATTTGCTAAGTCATTCTAGGCATCTATACACTCGAAAGTTAATCAGAGTGCTTTAGCGATATTAAAATCATTTGTATGATATAAATTGCTCCAAACAAAATTGTGTGCAATTTGCTTACGAGTTTTTTAAACTCTGATTTTTGTACTCCAAAAAAGCCATGGTGTCCCATTCGCCCCTCAAAAATTTCACTTAAATCCTCCCACTGACCTCGCCGTCTACCCAACTAGGCAAAAATTTCGTTTGATTGTACTTTTATACTTCGAGGCAAACTAGAAAATTTAGAAATTTCTTCCAGAAAAATCATAAACCGCTTTGAGGCGAACAACACATCCGTGCCAGCCCCCTCCCCCTCCGATTCCTTGCGCTCGAATATAGTAACGAGTCGGGGAGTTTTATTTTACTAATCAGAACCGGCTTTAATGCTTGCTGTCGCCACCGGAAATCCAAACTTATTCCGGTGAGCAAAATGAAATTATCAGATTGTAATCCCGCAACTCCTAACTTTGTGAATTTGTACTCTTAAGTCCTCTACAGTCACAGGGCCACTCATTTTCATCCTGAACATCTCTACTACCCAGTCAGAAGATACCGACTTAAAGCCCCTCTAACAGCCTCGCGCAGAACGCATCCGAGCATCCCAGTCAGTGCCGACGGAGGATTAAATTGCCATCAAAAGTCACCTAACCATTTGGCGGCTAAACAGACTCGCGCAATCAAACCAAACCTGGACAGTCATTAGGCGTCTTGTGCTCGTCCGCTAGCATTGCGCCATATCAAGATAATTCAGCCGTGCCGTCTTACTTTTTGTTCCCCTGCTAACGGGAGTGTGGTTTTCATTAGTCGTGTAGAAGTTGTTCTCTGCAATTTAGCCGCTGCACAATGCAATGGATAAGGAAGCAGGGGACTCACCTGCGAGTAAGGTAAGTGTTTGTGTTCCTCGGCCTTTTTCAGCTTCCATCGTCGAAACCACTCCTGAATGAGGAAGGTGGCGTAGAATTTGCCCACAGTCACATCGTCATTACCTAGTATTTGAAAAAAAGTTCGATTCTAGCCCTCAATTGTGCAACTCGCTTCCAAATGATACATCACTTCTCACAATGTACAAACTAAGAAACTAAAAATGGACAAAGTTGGACCTTTTGACAGTGTGGGAAAGAGGGGCAAGTAACAAA